TTGCTGCTTCAAAAGAGCTTTTTTGTCTTTTCAAAGGTGACTTCCTCCAATCTATCATTTTTCCATACATGCCCTACAAAGCTCATAATAGGATTGTTGACTGAGAAAAGTGGGAATCCAACACATCTGGCAACTATCAGGTTGGGTAAAGCTGTCCCAAAGCATGGGATTTCATCTTACAACCTCTTCAGTGTGCCACTCATTTGCATCTCTCTTTTGTTTCCATCTCCACTAACATGTACATTTCACTCATTCTTCAAGTACTTTGTTAAAAGATAATAGTGATTTATTTCAGACAGAAGTACACACTGCACAAATGCAACAATAAGTGCACAACTGCAACAACCAGTCAGTGAATCAAGACTGAAGAATTTTAATTCTGAAATTTTGAACTTTTCAGAGTGAAATATTTAACATTACCAATTTGTTTATACAGAACATTTCCCTGCATAACTGAATCATTGCATCCTTTCTGCCTCCCTGCACCTAGTCAAGAAGTGTAGCTGCAAAGACTAGTGGAAGAGCATGGGTTTTGCATGGAGGAGTCAGGAATCCCAATACAATCTGTGGTATCTACATTTTTAATGATAGTTACCTAACAAACCCATTTTTCTTTGCACCCCTTTTATCTTAATTGTAGGTCTAAAAGGGTTGTGTAAATAAAAGAAGGAGAAAGATGTGGAAGGGGGTAAAAGCAGAATAGGGGAAGAGTAGCCAAGAGAGAAAGAAATGGAGGGTGACCATAAGGAAAACTTTCACTTAATTATCCAAGTGCATATCATTGTATGGAAACCATTACACATATATTTATTGCAGCTCAGCCCAGCTACTGTTAGAATAGAATATGAAGAAACAGAATGGTTCCCAATTGGTAAAAGGGGTCAGGCAAGGATATTTAAAATAATTCAAAGTCATATCAACATTAAAATTACCAGTTAGATAACAGAAACAATAATAAGCAACAATCACATCACAGAAAAGAGCTTAAAGAAGAATTCTCTCAGTCTATTTAGCACAAAATTGAAAGCAACAACATAAGGCATACCCTCTTGGTGAAGACAAATGGAAAAATGTTCAAATGTTATATACAATGAAGTAAAAAGAGGGTTACACCTATTTCATGTGGGAGAAAGCTCTATAGGTCCAGATCTGGGCCCCCAGGCATCTGAGGAAGTAGGCACAAGTCTATGAAAGCTCATGCTATCAACTTCTCACTTTCAGTTAGCCTCAAAGGTGCTGCAAGATCCTTCTGGAAACCATGCCCTATGAGGAGCAACTTAAGGAGCTGGGTATGTTTAGCCCAGAAAAGAGAAGGTTAAGGGATCACATAGTTTGTTGATGTTAACTGCCCTTGAGTCAATCCCGACCCATGGTAACCCTGTGGATGAGACATCTCCACAACTCCCTGTCCTCCACTGCTCTGCTTAGGGTCTGTAAACTCATACCCATGTTCTCCTTAGTAGAGTCCATCCATCTAGCATGTGGCCTTCCTCTCTTTCTACTTTCCTCCACCTTTCCTAGCATTATTGTATTTTGCAGTGAGTTCTTCCTTCTTATGATGTGCCCAAAGTACGACAATTTCAGTTTTGTCATCTTGGCTTCCAGGGAGATCTCTGGCTTGATCTGCTCCAGGACCCATTCATTTGTCTTTTTGGCTGTCCATGGGATCCTCAGGCCTCTTCTCCAGCACTACATCTCAAGTGCATTGATTTTCTTCCTATCTACTTTCTTCGCTGTTCAGCTCTCACATCCATACATGATAATAGAGAATATAATGGCTTGTACAATTCTCACTTTTGTGTTTAGTTGTATATCTTTGCATTTTAGAATCTTTTCTAGTTCTTTCATAGCCACTCTCTCCATTCTTAATCTTCTTCTGATTTCCTGGCTGCAATCCCCATTTCTATCAATGTTTGATCCCAGATATGAGAACTCTTTTACCACTTCTATTTCTTCATTGTCTAGGTTGAATTTATCAAGATTCTCCATTGTCATTATTTTTGTTTTCTTTATGTTCAGCAATAAGCCTGCCTTTGCACTTTCTTCCTTGATCTTTCTTAGTAGTTGTTCCAGGTCTGGGAGGTTTTCTGCTAGTATTATGGTGTTATCTGCATATCTTAGATTGTGCTATTCCTTCCCCCTATTTTCACTTCTCCTTCTTCTATGACCAAGTCTGTTTTTCTTATAATATGTTCTGCATATAAGTTGAACAGGTAGGGTGTTAAGATGCAGCCTTTGTCTGAACCCTTTGCTAATTGGGAACCATTTTGTTTCTCCATATTCTGTTCTGACAGTAGCCTCTTGTCCTGAGTACAGATTCCTCATCAGGACTATCAGATGTGTTGGCACTCCCATGTCTTTAAGGGCATTTCATAGCTTTTCATGATCTATGCAGTCAAAGGCTTTGCTATAGTCTATAAAGCACATGCTGATTTTCTTTTGAAATTCCCTGGTGAGTTCCATTAGCTATCATATGTTTGCAATTTGGCCCCTAGTGCCTCTTCCTCTCCTGAACCCTGCTCTGGGATTTCTCTCTCCATGTATGGTTGGAGTCTATATTGCAGAAT